ATGACTGTTGTTATGGACCACTGGTGGACTGCATCAAACAGTATCCTTTCCCATAAAATTTTAGGTGCACAATTGACGAGCTTAGACTGTGTGGAAGAGATGTGTCTAGCTTTAACCTGACATAAAGTTCTGCTTCACAAAACACGTTTCATACTCCTCTGTTTTACATTCAGTCAGCTAGAGAGTCACTGCGGAGCTTTCTCTTACACGAACGAAAATCAGATGGACCACGGGAATATGTCATTCATATGCCTGATTGAACCTCTTTGGTTTTGATTAGTTGAAATGCATGTCTGGTTTTGTGTTAAGACTAGTTGACCATGCTTTGAGTGGTGAAGTTGGACTAGATGATCTCTGGAGATACCTTCCAATCTCAACTGTTTCGTTAAGTTTCATAGATAGTGTTCAACATTATGACTTTGCTTTGTTATGAATATGGGTTTTAATTGAAATGTTTTCAAGTGCAATTCAAGTTTGATTGACTGATTAGTATTTTTAAGCTTCTATCTGATGTTCCAGTGCCGTTCTTTTATTTTCTCTTCTTCTTAAAGGAAATTATACTAGCTGTAGTAAAAACCCTATGTAGCTTGAATTTTCAGGGATTTTTTTTTGTGATGTTGAAATGGTTAATTAGAGAGCCTCAGTGCACTGTGAGTACACTGAGGGAACTCCACGCTGACTATTACAGAGTAGGATTATAATTTGTTAGGAATGATCACTGAGACCCCAAATCTGCTTTAGTAAAGTACTGAAGGAGTAGCTCTTCTGTTTCAGTATGCAGTCAAAGGAACAATTTCAAAATCATGACCTGTTATCACTGAGCAGGCTAGTAAGGCAGTTCCCTCCCAAGTCCTGGAAAATCCTTGCACAAATCTCTGCATGCAGTTTGGGGGAAGATCTTGATTTCACTGTTAAGTTGCAGGATAGGAAAGCTACTGTGATGTTTAGTTATGCGTGAAAAACAGTACTACTTGTACGAGTGATACATGTGATTGTCACTCCTTAAAAATATGTTCTTTCTACTAGAAATACTTGTCTGATGTCTACTACAGTCTCAGCCCTGCTCCCATTAACTTTAACAACAGCAGGATAGTGGTCTAATTTTCTTTGTATTTTGTGCTTTAAATTGTAATTTTAAGTATTCATTGGGACTATCTTCAAGATCAAACAAAGCTCTCTAAAAGTGGATTAATAAGTTGCACTTTTTAAAAGGTTTTTGGTCACTAATTTTCATATCCAGAACTTAAGGATTAATATTTTGTGCTTGAGCAATCTGTAGACTTCTGAAGTCTACTGATTGGCTGTAGACTTTTGAAAGTGTCATGTTTAAAAGTAATAATGACACATATGTAGAAATATGAACCATTTTAAAGAATAGCTTGCCTGCAGTCTAGAAGAGACTTTTGTATCCTCTTCAGATTCTGGCTCAAGTCAGTTATTGAATACGCAGTGACATTGATGAGAGTAATGAGAAGTTTTTCAATTCCATTTTGGTACAGAAAAGTTTAATGCTAAGCTATGTGAGTGCATTACTGTAAGTATGTTGCTGAATTAGATATTAATTTTGAGGTGCATAAAATAGTTAAAAATCAATTTAAAGTTAAGGTTTTAAAAGCATAATGTCTTCTGAAGGATTGCATATTGATTTTAAATGTATCTATCTAATTGTATATGCATGGACTAAAGTATGAAGTCAACCTCTCTGTAAATGCCAAGAGGCTATTTTTCAGTAATAGTTCAGATGCTTACGGGAAACTAGGCTGCTAGATTGCATGAGTAGAAAATGGCTTGTGAAGTTATTTACAAGTTTTACCCCATGGTCATTGCCATACATCAATAACAGGTATTATTATTAAGCAGTGTTTCTGCTTATGGTGCCTTATAAATTCTGTTCGCAATATTTTTCTTACCTTTTTGCTGTTCTTTTGAAACTGCTAGTAGAGTTTAGCATAATATGTAGTTTCAATTAATAAAAACTGTATGTACATGTGAAATGATTACAAAGAATTATTCCTTTTTTGCTGTTCAGCATGAAGTGTTCATATAAATTAAATAATTAACTGTAATGGTAAGGTGATCTGTAGTTTAAGTTTTCAGAAGTTATTCTAAACAGAATTTGGAATTTAACTGCATTTAATGTAAGATCTTTTACCATGATGTTCCATAGGATTCTTCTTCAGAGCTTCCAGAATAGAACTTTGACCTCTAGAAGGATACATTAAAAATATTTAATCTGGTGACTTTTTTCATACCACTAAGAATAGCACATTGGATCAACAGCTGTCAGTGAAGGGAAAAGGACTTCACTATAAAATATTATTTTATCCTTCCCTGGCAATAGTTCATGCTTCTGAAAAATCAATTAAAAGGATGTTTTTTACAGTAAGATGTTTCAGATGGATGTAGTGCCTATCAATTTCAGAATATAAAGAAAAAAAAATCCTAGTTTATTTCATCCTTTGCTGAATTGGAGAATTGATACACTAGTCAGTAAAGAGCAACTTAAAAGGTATTAAACTGTGTGTTTTAAGATCACATTTTCTCTTAAATTTAGAGGGAGAATAAAGAAAAAATGGAAATATTGTCCTTAATTATGCTTAATAAATATGGTCAAGTGGGTCTTAATTCTGTGAAATGCGTGCTCTTGATGCAGTAGTCTGATTTTCATAAAGTGACACATACTTCTGAAAATCCCTGTAAGGATTTTTAGAACTGAGAGTTCAAATCACTGATCACTTCTGAAATGCAGATGAAGGTCAATGAATTCTATGATGAACTACTTTACCTATGATGTTTTTATGAAGTTACTTCTTTTCCAAAGTAATCTTCCATTTCTTAACCTAAAGCTGTCAGCGCTATTGGGCATGAGCATGAAGTCTTGCTGCGAGAAATGCTTTTGGAAAAAAATCTCTCTTTCATAGGTAAGAATCTGTAGTAGAGGCTAGCCAGTGTGTTCTTAACTTTAAAGATATTGGTGACTGTTTACCTAAGAAAAAATAAACCTCAACATTCCTTGTATTAGGTAGAAAAGGAAGAGTAAAAAATGATTGATGCTGTTCATGTTATCTTTTATTGATTTAGAACAGAGCAGGAACTCAGTTACCTAATACCCTTTATATACAGTACATGCACAGGCTTGCAATTAATATTTTATAGAATAAGTAGCTGAAAAAAATGCTTTAATATCTGCTGCAGTATTACTTTTGGTGTCATGAGATATTAGCCATAATCTAGACCTTATGAGACTTAGGAGGAAGCATAAGAAATATTAGCTTCAGAATGCTTTATGTATGAAAGAACTGCTAGAGGATTCACTCATTTACTTTTCTGTGCAGTTGCTGCTGAATTTTTGCCCCCTGCCTCCCAATCAATGCAAGTACTCTTTTTCACGCTCCCTGTATTTAAAGTTATTTTAAGAATTAATTAGTTAGGAAGTGATTTTCATTTTTTTCTTTTAGCCTACAGTATGTTTCTTTTACACGAGTGCCATTGAAATAAAGATTAGTGTTTAAAGCACCCGTTCTCTTAATTCAGTAGTAAACAGTGACTTCTTAAATCTTGGATTCCTTATGTGATGAGACAATAGCAAAGTGAAATGCTGTCTTTTGTTAATGGTTTGAGCATTGTACTAATGTGTGAATTTTCTGGTTTTACCAGGAACTATGATCTCTCCTGAACCTATATCAGGTTAAGATTTTGGAAACCTTAAACAAATTTAAGAAATTGGGAGGCGTATTAAGCTTTTAAAAATATTTGTCTGTACAATTAAAGAACAGAGTTAATGTGTTCTTTTATACAAAAGTGAAAAAAGGACAGGAATAACTATTACATGCAAGCTTTCAAGTGACACTAGGAAAATGTGAAGCAGTAGATTTTCCTACTTGACTGTAAGAACATAGATACAGGTAATAGGCTTAAGCTGTAACTGTAGAGACAATGTTGAGTTAAAATACTAAACAGTTCTAGGAATAAGAAGTATAAAACAAACTGTCAGGGAAGGTTATAGAATCACCTCCAATGGAAAATTCAGGTCTGGATTTGACACTCATCTATCAAAGCTGGTAATGAAATCAATCCTGTCACAGTACAAGGGAATGGATTAGATGACTCACTGAGGGATCCTCAACCCAACAATTATGATTTTATTTGGCTTGTGTAAGCTTGTGCAGTATACAAGTCAGATTTACATTTTAATGTTTTGCGAACTTGGATAAGCATCAATTTTGTCTTTAGAAATAAGGTCTAAGAAATCTATGCTGTCAAATCAAAACATCTAGAATGAGTTAACTCATTAGGATATGAAGATATAAATGAGAGAACATAATTTACTGTTTATATGTTAAGCATTTGTGTTTATTGTGCCTGTGTATTACAAGTGTCTTTCAGGTTCTAGATGTGTTTGGGTTTTGGTTTTTGTTTTTATTCTGAAAAGAAAAGCTTTTTTTGAGTGTCTGGAAGATGAACCCTTTTGAGTCACTCCTAATAAAACCTTTTATTTCTGAAAAACTGTTTCCAAAACTGCTTGAGGAAACCTCAGGAAAACAGAAGAGATGACAGAATTTCCTATAGGTTCACAAATTCAGACTTTGTTGTGTAAGACTTCATTCCAGTTTTGAAGATGGCTTATGACTTGCAATTCCATTACATTTTAACATATAAAACCCAGAATTTTCACAGTTTCCATATTAGTGTACTATTCCAGTGTACTGTCCTTCAGAATAGTCAGGAGGTTTGTATCAGCTGTTCACCTGTGCAACAGAGAATCTAGTACGGGAGAAGACAGCACAGTCAAAGGACACAGTGAATATAAATTGCCCTGGTATAGTATTGGAACATGAAACAGCTTTTCAGGTTCAGGACATAATTTGTCTGTTTGTAGAGCAGTTAGCTTTCAGAGCCTACAGATCAGAAGTAACACATTCAAACTCACCCTGAAATTTATTGGAAACCTATACACACTAATGGGGTTACATTTTATTAATCCACTGCTCATGGAAAGCACATCATATCCCAGGTCCTCCCTTTAGAAAAATACTTTGCCTGAGATTAAAGTGATCAGCAGAAGCATTCTCTCAAAACAGCTTCACACACCATACTGAGATGCCAAGAATTTCTAAGTTCTATATATAGATCCTTTACATATATATATAGAGAGAGAGAGATATTTTTATATCTTTACCATAAATATATTAGGAAAGCTTTTACCTGTATCGGTTGGTACTGAGCTTTATCCTCCTTTGACTCCCACCATGGTGTCCCTCAGTAGTAGCTTGGATATAAATCATGAAATCTGATCCATGTTTTCTGCTGTGATCTTAAATTTGCAGTTGCAGCTCATTCATGCACCAACAAAAGAATGTTTTGTTTCTTTGTAATATCCAGAGGCTAGTATAAGAACAATGATGTGTTAAATGGTTATGATTGAGTGTGAAGTTGTGGCAAAGATGAAGCTGCAGTTTTGTTGGAAATCAAAATTAATGGTCAATCTGTAGCCAAAATACTTATTGGAGCTGTTTCCACATAATTTGCAAATCTGAGGATGCATAGGTGTAACTGTCAAAGCTGCTGTGGGCTGGCTTCCAAACATTTGTTAAATTATTCTCTTAATCCATGCTAGAGTTAGAAGATATTTTGAGGTGCAGAACGCTACCTCTGTATACAGTTTCTGGACCAATGTGAAACATACCCGAACTGAAAAGCTAGAACATCTTTTTGGTGGGATTATGGTTTAAAACAAAAATTCTTTAATGATTATAGGGAGTTTCTATAATTATTTTTTCTTCAGAGTTATAAAGCTTCAAAACACTTGAGGAAATAATATTGCAAAATTATATTCCTCCACAAGGTAGACAACTCACATCAACAGTAAACATTCTTTTTAGTATATTTTCCAGTGTTTATTGCTAAATGTTGGGAAAAAACAAATAAAGACATTCAAAAACAGATTTAAAACAAAAAACCATGTTCTTTTTTAAACAATGAATTAGTACCAAAAGAGTCTACTGAAGAATATTAAAAGTAATGCTGACGCAGATTCTAGTTCAGAGACCTTCCAAGTTGACCTATCCAACCATGTTTGTATCTGTCCTGGTTTTCAGTGAGGTTTTTTTTTAAGGTGCATCTCCCTTATTTTGTGGTAGTAGGATTTGTTAGATGCGAAAGAAAAGACTGACCTTTCTAATGCTGTTGCTCTTGAATGATGAACATTTCAGCTGAGACATCCTATTGTCTATTCTAGATCGTTTTAAACAAGAGCAGGTTACAGTTAAATAGAGTTGGATGAAACTGGATTTTTTTTAATCAAGATCGAGACATTACGTAGAACATTAATTCATTTTTATGTTATGGCATAAAACTCTCTATTCATGGGTTCTGTTAAATTAGAACCTTCTTATTCTTAACAGCATTTATCTGTATATGTGACAATCTTAGTTTGAAAAAATAGCCAACAACCAACTCTGTCTCCAAATCCTAGAAATGCTTGTCATTACCTGATTGGGTGATATAATGAAGTATTGCATTGCAAAGGCTTGTATTTACTATATAGTCTATTTATAGTGAAGAAATGCTCTCAAAATTAAAAAAAAATAGTACAACTCTCAAAAAGAATAAACAGCTATTGCAGTTTACAGAGAAGTGAATGTACAGCTTTCCAAATTTACTCCTGTCCCACTTTCAGAATGAGTTCACTATATGAAATAATACTTCAGACTTATATTCTTCAATAAAAAGAATGAGAGAGTTTGCTTTTGGCACTTTTACAATATTTTGATTTCTAAGACTCTATGTTTTTCTTGTCATTAAAATGTTACTTGGACTCAAACTGCTGACCTTTCAGGATATGCACAAAGTATTCAAAAACTGAGTTCTGAACATTGGCCATGAAACTACTGTCCTAACCTGATAAATGGATTGGAAATAAGCTACCCAACAGTGAGAATGGGCCATTAATTTTAATCAAAGGTGATGTAGAAAGGCGAATGGGATGCATGACAATGTCAACAGCCCAGTAGGTGTTAAGGGGCTACACAGCCTTACTTGTTACTAGGTAGTGCCATTAGTTAAGCCTGGGTGAAGACAGAAAGCCATGCCTGGAATTGAATGACCAGGTCACTCCAAATTCTAATGGAGAAATGGTGTTTCAGAAATACCAATGTAATGGTATCAGAAATGAAGGATAATAGTTTAAAAATATTAAGGGCTTGCTTGGGCTTTTTTTGCCTGTTTTTCTTTTTTTTTTGAAAGGAGCACCCTTTGTCTTTTGCAATTTTATTTTGCTCATTATTACTTCTTGAAATATTCAGCTCTAATATCTGTAAGTAATAGAGTTGTATGATTAATGTTAGCAGAATTTCTAAATCTTTGTATGTTCTGAAATTGGATAAATTCTATAGAATCCAGAATACAAGAGAAACTAAAATTATGGCTCCTCTCTACTTTAATAAATTCCTGGGAGAGAAGGATTTTCATACCTTTTTTTAAACAACTTTATGCTAACATTAAAAATAAAACCAAGAAGACAGCTACAGTATATCTACATTTGTGGTGTTGGTAGGATTAATCTTTACGCATCCGAAGGTGGAGAGGCTCTTCTTTCAATCAGCGAATATACCTCTTTACTTTGAATATTTGGAGGTTATAAAATACTGTATGACAGCTTGAATTAATGATGTTTATAATGAAGACATAAAAATGCAGGGATGACAAAGAAGCATTTTTATATCCATGCTTCAGGTTTTCTACAAAGGTTCATTTAATTTGACACAGCATTGCATGCATAAGAAAGATATGTATGACTGCATTAGTAATTCTTGCACTCTTATTTAAAATAAAATTAATTATGCTGCTGTCTACTTAATGGAATAGTTTTATAAACAGTAGTTCTTATTCTGTATGTACAGCTGAAGATCAGCTTCGTGCAAAGGGTTATGACAAAACACCAGACTTTATTTTAGAAGTACCAGTAGGTAAGTCTTTTAAAAGAACTTTTATAATTTTGTTTTGTGTAGAAGAGTTCATGCTAAAATATTATGGCTACTTAAGTGAAGCATAATCTAGGATACTACAAATTAATCTCTTCAGGAGTTACCCAATAATTTTAAGAACTTCCTAGTTTGGTTCAGAGAGATTTGATCGTAAGTAGTGTTACCCAGTGTTTCCTCTTTAGTCTCTGCATGTTTTTAATCTCATTATCAAAAAAGGAAAAAACAACAACAAGAACCTCCAAATCCCTGCTCCCTCTGATGTACTCTACCCACTATCTTTCTGAACTAAACTCTGAAATGCCTGTAATTGTCTTTTACTCCTAGACCAAATCAGTTCAAAGCAGTCTTAAGAGTATTACTATTACACCTACAGGTCATTGTATAAAGGTTTGTCATGGTGCAGTTATTCTTTTTGCCATCACTTTGGATCCAGATACAACTCTGCAGTTCTTCACTGTTTTTTAAAAGCCTGAATAGCAAGAAAGAATAAAGAATAAAAGTAGGGATAAAGGTCATAAAGTTCATCCACCTTTTCTGGTCCTGAGGTCATATGAGAAGGTAACCAGATGACCTTGTCACTGGGCCACAGAAGAAAGAACATCCAAATTGTCCAAATGTAAAGGATTATTAATCACCTTTTGTAAATTGGCTTTTGTGCTAAAAGACTTCTGCTTTGCCTCCGTAGAATGCAGCACCCATCTATGCAGATCTACTGCATAGATCTACTGCAGATCTACTTTTCTGTCTGTCAGAGAAAGTAAAAAGGCTGAAAGTACTGTGTGAAAGTCATATACATGACTAGTTTTTTTTCTTCATATTGACAATTACTGAAATTCTTACTGAGATAACTGATTTGTACACTAGTATAAGGAATGGAGTGTGTGCTATAAAATGCATCACTACACAGAACTGCTTGAAATACCATCTTTCAGCCCAATCACCTGTTATCCAGCGAACAACTGTGTATATGAGAGTCTTCTGAAAAGGTTTTAAAGACTTTCCTTAGCTTAGTGGTGTTTGTATACCTAATCATGTATACCTAATCCAAAAAACAAAAATGGTGGTGATGTTAATAACAAAACAGAAAATACCTTTGTAACTAAAGGACTCCATATTTGAAACAGGGAGGTTTGGCATCCTACTGTGGTTCACTCATGTCAAGCCACATGTGGAGAGTTTTCAGTTAATTTCTACCCCTTCACTTCCATAATTACTGTGAAGAATCTCAGGAAGCTTCAAGGACTTGAGGGGATGAGGGAACTGTTGGTTTTTGCAAGGTCTAAAGTTAGCAGGGAAAATTGTGAACTTTCAGAATTACAGAATGGCTGAGGCTGGTGGCTAGTTGCTCAAATAGGTTCACCTGGAGCTGTTAGCCGAACACAGTGTCCAGACAGTTGTTGAATGTCAAGCAGGGAGAATCCACAACCTCTCTGGGCAACATTTGCCCATGCTCAGTCACCCTCACAATGAAAAAGTGGTTGCTAATGTTCAAATGGAACCTCCTGTGTTTCGGTGCCCGTTGCTTTTGGTCCTGTCACTTGGCACCACTGAAAAGAGCCTGTCTCCCTCTTTTTACCACCTACCCTTCAGAAAGTTTTATTCATTGATAAGATTCACCATTAACATGCTTCTTAGGCTGATCTCTTTTTCTTTTTGTGTTAGAATAAATGCAAATATCTAGAACAGGATGTAATTAAACTGAAATTGATATAAATATCTGTTATTTTCTGATAAGTTTTTTAAATGTCCTTTTTGTGCATATTTGAAAGATAATTTTTACAAATATGTAACTGTTGCAAGCATGAATTATGTGATAGATTGTGGAGTAAATAGGATATTCACAAACACAGTCTTATAGGCTGTTGAGTTTGATTTTCAGAGTTCAGTTTCTTTTTTGCTGTCACCCTAGCTGTGGAAGGACACATAATTCACTGGATAGAGAGCAAAGCCTCATTTGGTGATGAAAGTAGCCACCAAGCCTATTTGCAGGACCAGTTTTGGAGCTACTGGAACAGGTATATTTCTATTATTTTTTCCTTACAGATAAATAGGATTACATTTTAAAAAGAAGTTACTGGATAAAGCAGTAGTGACTCTGGTATTAAGCCATGCGGACAAAATACATGTTACTAGTCTGACATTTTGAATGTCATTACTTAACATGTCAAATTGGAATTATGAAATATTTGTGAAAAATTCATATCCTAATTGTTAACATGCAGCAGATACATCTGGTGATTTTACAGTGATGCTACATGACAGAGTAAGTTACTTCGGTACAGAAGTTATATGTCAATTTTTTAGTACCTGACTCTGAAAGAAGATTTTGCTGTAAAGTTTTGGAATACATGCAAGATGACAAATTTGTTTAAAAATCTTTGCAGTCTAACCAAGTGGGCTTTGTGTGTGAAGAACTTTATTGCTTATTGTCATTGTATCTGGGACAATACTGTTTCACTGGGGTTTTTTTTAATAAAGTATTTCTTTTGTATATTATCTACATTTGAAGCAGGAATAACAATTATCTTCAAGTTAAAAATTTAGTAAGTATTTGCAGGAATGTAAGGAGGTAAATAAGTTATGCTAGACGGAAGTTTGAAACATGTTGATGGTATTGGTATAAAGATTTTTTCTTTTAAAGATGGTTAAAATACTTCCGCTTTATTCTTCTAAAAGTCAGTGCTGTGTATATTTGTATATCTTTCCATGGTCCTACATACCCCCTCACTGGAGGATTTCTTTCCAAAAAAAATCTTAAGCACAGTGCTTTATCTCCAATGCCATTTTTGTGTGTGGTAGAACCCTAAGCAAGATAGTAAGTGAGATAAATGAAAGTTTTAATAAAGGATTTTTTAAAGCATAAATTTAGAAGTTGCTCAGTGTTAACAAGAGACCATCTGAGGGATACTGGAGAACATGGCACAAACATATGAACATGCACCAAAAAGGGAGTGTGCTCCAACATCAGAGTCTAGTCTGTTCACCATTAGTATTTCAGCTGAAAATGAGAAATGTCAAGGTGAAAATAGCTAGCATTACCTTCGGAAATACTTTAAAAGCAGATTCCATAGAAGGCATCAGAGAAAGGGAAACCAAATCTTGAGAACAACATCATCAAAGTTTGGAATTATGCTCTGCAGCAACATTCTTGATTGACATAAGGACACGCTCTTATTTGACAGTCCCAGAAATCAGTGACTTGGAAAACTTGAATCAAGGCAATGGGAAGCTCAGGAAGGCTGTCAGTTGTTGGATGAAGATACTAAGGGAAGTTGTAGAAAATAAATTGTGACACATATAAACAGAATATAAAACTTTGAAAGAAATTTGAGTATATACAATATCTAGGCAAATGGTGAGAATGGCAGGAAAGATGCTTATGCAATTGGTGCTGAACTGCACATCAGTGTAAATGAAATGGAGCAGCTCAGGCCAGGAGGTGGCCATTAGATGTATTGGCTGGAATACTTTCTGAGTATAAAGGATGTGTTTGAAGGAATCCATGATGGTATCAGAGAAAAGCAGTTCCAAGAAGTGAATTTTAAATAGATAACATGAGCATAGAGATACTTAATAAGTTGAGATGGGGTGAAAGTTGAGTAGACAAGTAGGATGAAGGCACTGATCCATTTGTTGTTCGCAATAAAATTGCCATTGCAAAGTTGAAGTTTCTTTCTTTTTTTTGTGCCGAAGTGTCTATCCACATTTTGATTTGAGCTATAAAAATGTGTAAAACATTTGAGAATAAAGTGTATCATTTGAATCTGACATTCCCAAAGGAAATTTCTCTTACACTTTTATCAATAAACCAAGATGTAGCTAACTTCAATTTAATTTCAACATGTACTAATTAATAATTCAACTTCAAAAATGGAATATTTTCTCATTTTCTCACTGAGCTGTTAGTCAAGTATCTTTAATGTTGCAAAAGCTAGACTGAAATTATATGTGGATCAATAAAACATTTTGAAAGTAGTTTTGAGATTTTGCCAAATCTGTTATAGTGTTCATATTAAAAAGAAGTACAAAAATTGTTGCTTCTTACGTATAATGACTTTACATTCATATAAGGGAAACTAGAGCTCTCTTTAGTGAGATTTGTTACACCCTAAATCTAAAATTTAGTGATAGGTTAACCATGGAAATTAGGCAGATTTCTTTGGCCTTTCTTTAAAGAACAAATCCTATTAGTCTTAATTTTGCTACCACTTGGCCAAACTGACCAAGTGAAATGAGCTCTGAGTTACTGTAGCTTCTAATATAATGACAGTTGAGTTAATGAACACACGTTGACAGATTAGGTTGCAAATAGGTTAGACAGTTAACTTTCGTTGGTCTCTGAAACTATTTATGTAAAAGGACACAGGTGTAGCTGTCCAAAATGTGAATTAATTTTGGGTTATTTAATCAGCCTATCTCTCAAGTGAGAACCAGCTTCCCAGTCAATTCACCATATCTTTGTGTCTCCCTTCCTCTGAACAGAGAAATCATTTGGAGAAGCAGCATCAGTTCACAATAGAGATATCATGACACTCAGCTGATAGTTTAGGGTGTTGTAAACCTGATCCATTGGTTGAACTTAGAGCAGAAATGAAATTGAAGAGAAAATCTGTAACATCACCTGTTAGATGTGGATAGAAATACAAATTAGATACTTTGAAAGGAATGAGAGATTTTAGGTTTTTCCATTCAGCTTTTTTATTGCTTCTCTAAAAATGAGGAGTCAGACTGGAAAAGTTTCTGGATTCTTTTCCCGTATGTCACAGATGTAAGATGAATTCTACTCAGAATGTGACTGAAAGCTTTGAACATAGCTGTGGTTTGTTTACTGTTATGTGTGTATTTCATTAAATCCTGTACTCTGTGCTAACTAAATCTGTGAGTGTCTTAAATTGGTCTGTACTGACAGGAAAGAAATGGCACTTTCTCATTTAACAGAACAGCTCCCTAGATGCAGTCAACCATGTCTGTTCACCTCAGTGCAAAAGAACACCTTTTTATTACTCTGAGTTCTGCAGGGACAGCTTAGCAAGGGTTTTTATGGCTCATACATCAATGGTATTGTTAAGCAATTTTCAGTTGCAGTGGTGCACTGCAACCTCATCTTCAAATTAAGCTTCACATTAAAAATGTACAAAGTGTACCTTGTCAGTGGATATGCACAGTTGTAATTTAAGATGCTCTTTAGATATTTGAGATTTTTTTAATAATAAAGAAACAGGAAAAAGACAAATTTGGTCTTGCATATTCCCAGACTGATTTTACAGAGTGATGTTTTAGAAAAAAAAGCTCTTGTACATACTGGAAAAACTTGAAATGTTTCATGTACTTACAGAATCCCTTCCCTCCTTATGTTTGTTTGGTGGCATCTACTCAGCAGGCTATAGCTTTCAGTGCCACTGGGTAAGGAAAACAACTACATGTGCAAAATATAATTGCTTTGTGCACATGTAGTAGATACCATACTTTTCATTGTTCACTGGCCTACATTGGTGTATTTCTTGTAACTATGAGAATAAAAACTGTTGAATAGCCAGTGTGACCAAAGGTAATTTGGAGAGCATGAACAGGAAGTTACGCAGATTGCACTTTAAAACAGGGTCTATGAACATATTGTAAATTATTTTAGGGTTTAGATGAATGTTGTTGTTCCTTTTTTTTTTTTTTCCTGTAGTGTCTAATTTTTTATTTTTTTTCTAACTTGGAGTCCTGGCTGTAAAAGTCTGTTAGTCAGAGCTGATAGGCACAACTGCTGTTTTCTAAGAAGGATATAGAGATCAGCAACACTCAGTTCAAATAGTAATTAGTGGGTGCACTGTCAGTGACTTGCTATAAGAAGATATAAACTCAAATATAGCAATTTACATTTTCTATCTTCTGCAAGCATGGCTAAGACATATGTACATTCTGGAATGTAATTTCTAGAGAGTCCCAGGAGAAAGCTTGACGTCGTTATTAGCTAAAGAAACTTTACTATATGTGAGGAAGACCGTAGGAAAATGTCATATTTGACATTGATATTAAAGGCAATTTCACATAGTGAAAGAGAAGCATTTCATCTTCTCTTTGAATAAAAATGGTAAGTCATCTCTGCAGTAAAATCCTTCCCTCATTTGCTTGCATTCTAAATGTTGTTAGTCCTGTGCTTCTCCTTTTTTGAAAAAATAAATAAAAGCAAGTTTCCCATAAGTGATTTTAAAATAGTAATCACACTTTTTGGAAGCCTAAATTCATGATTCATTGTCTTGTTAAGTAATACATTATGTCTGATCTTGAGACTTTAGTTTAAAACTAACAGTCATAGTAAAATCATCATAGACTCCTGTAGATTAAAAAGGGTATTTATTTCAAATAAGTGCAAATAGAAATGATGCAAAACATTATATTTCAGTCACAATCACAGATGATGTGTTCTTGGGTTTTTTGGGAAGAGAATTCAAATTCATTTGCAGTTGACTATGAGTTATATATGAGCAAGGGCGGAATTAGAACATCAGATGATAGACATTTTTTGCTGTTCAAGTCTTTAAAATGGTTTGACATGTTACTGTGAAGACTGAAGTAATAATTGTTGTCTGATTGTAGGTGGCAGGGGAAGAGGGATTTATGCTGTGGGTTTATGGATCTCTGTTCTATTAACAAGTTCAGTGTTCTTCAATTGCAGATGGTTTAAAAAGTTGTACTGGTGAGTTGAAAGCCAGTGTAACAACTAAACTTGGAGGAAACCTTGGGAGTTGCATTTGTCAAGTGGCTAGGAAAACCGTTCATGCATACCCAGTATCCAAAGCTTCATTGGCAGCCCAAACATAAAGAACTGAAAGGTCATTCTTCTTCTAGCAGTATGATGGTTTGTTGACATATTTTGACACACTGGTGCAACAGTGAAAGGTTTTGATGTTACTGCAATACTGAGAGACTTAGGATTTGTTTAACTATCTAATACTTGTGGATTTTCACACATACAGGGTTTTGATTTGCTCCTTTTTCTCTCTGTCCTGGCTCCACTTGAATTAGT